CATTAAATGGTTGGAGAAACTGAACAAATCTACGCAAAACCTTGTTAGACTAAGCATGAAACACACTTTTGTCTGCCTTGAACTACATCACTGTCAGAGGCTTAAAGGGACCTCATGCAAGAGTTGGTGTGTAACTGCTAGTAAGACAGTAGCTACAACAGCTGCATAGTAATTGTAATCTCTTCATTTAACCACTAATACTGCAGGCTTCCCCTTTAATATAGTTGTGCCACTTGCATCTGAAAGCCAGATTCTGTCAGACCTTGGAAGCTAAGCAGGGCAGGTTCTGGTTAGGGTGATGGGAGACCTCTAGGAACAGCACACTGGTTGCCTCGTTTCTGTCAGTGTGCCCCATGGCAGCTGTGGCTACAGTAGTAGTTTATCACTTCTCTGGAGTGAATGAGTAATGACAAGTAAAACATCTTTGAGTCCAAAAAGCACTTTTTAAAACCAATGCATTATTTTTGTTATTGATTGACTGCGGAACCTTCCGCAGTCAACCATTGGTTTTGTATTTCTTTATTCCGTCATTTTTTTTGACACGTTTCACAGCTTTCACATTTTCAACAATTTCCACAAGTTATACATCAAAACGTTCCACATGTTTGGGAGATTATTGCTATTACTTTTGGGACTTCAGCGATTTCCGGTTTTTCCGCAATCGGACAAAAATCTGCATTGAGAATTCTGCAATGCATTTTAATAGGCCCATGCATTTTAATAGGACTTCAGCTCTTTCAGACATTTCTACAGTTTCAATGATTCAACAGTTTCAAGGATTCAACAGTTTCAAGGATTTCAGCAGTTTCAAGATTTCAAGAGTTTCAAGGACTTCAACAGTTTCAAGGACTTCAGCAGTTTCAAGGACTTCAGCAGTTTCAAGGACTTCAGCAGTTTCAAGGACTTCAGTGTAATCATGCAACCTAATAGGGATTTTTCCATGTAAACCAGTATAATGCAACTTAATAGGGATTTTTCCATGTAAACCAGTATAATGCAACTTAATAGGGTTTTTTCATGTAAACCAGTATAATGCAACTTAATAGGGGTTTTTTCCATGTAAACCAGTTTAATGCAACTTAATAGGGGTTTTTACATGTAAACCAGTATAATGCAACTTAATAGGGTTTTTTCCATGTAAACCAGTATAATGCAACTTAATAGGGTTTTTTCCATGTAAACCAGTACAATGCAACTTAATAGGGATTTTTCCATGTAAACCAGTATAATGCAACTTAATGGGGATTTTTCCATGTAAACCAGTATAATGCAACTTAATGGGGATTTTTCCATGTAAACCAGTATTATGCAACTTAATAGGGATTTTTCCATGTAAACCAGTATAATGCAACTTAATAGGGATTTTTCCATGTAAACCAGTATAATGCAACTTAATGGGGATTTTTCCATGTAAACCAGTATTATGCAACTTAATAGGGGTTTTTACATGTAAACCAGTATAATGGAACTTAATAGGGGTTTTTACATGTAAACCAGTATAATGCAACTTAATAGGGATTTTTACATGTAAACCAGTATAATGCAACTTAATAGGGATTTTTCCATGTAAACCAGTATAATGCAACTTAATAGGGTTTTTTACATGTAAACCAGTATAATGCAACTTAATAGGGATTTTTCCATGTAAACCAGTATAATGCAACTTAATAGGGTTTTTTACATGTAAACCAGTATAATGCAACTTAATAGGGTTTTTTTCATGTAAACCAGTATAATGCAACTTAATAGGGTTTTTACATGTAAACCAGTATAATGGAACTTAATAGGGGTTTTTACATGTAAACCAGTATAATGCAACTTAATAGGGATTTTTACATGTAAACCAGTATAATGCAACTTAATAGGGATTTTTCCATGTAAACCAGTATAATGCAACTTAATAGGGTTTTTTACATGTAAACCAGTATAATGCAACTTAATAGGGATTTTTCCATGTAAACCAGTATAATGCAACTTAATAGGGTTTTTTACATGTAAACCAGTATAATGCAACTTAATAGGGGTTTTTACATGTAAACCAGTATAATGGAACTTAATAGGGGTTTTTACATGAAAACCAGTATAAAGGATAACAGTTTAAAGGATATCAGGAGCTTCAAATACTTCAGGAGTTTCAAAGATGTTTAAAGTATTTTAACAGTTTCAAGGATTTCAAGGATTTTTCAGCTAAATTCCACATTAGATCTGTTCCGCAGTCAATCGCAATGGCTTCAGCCATTGCAAGTTTCTAGTATATTATTAATGATGATAATAGCAGAATGTTCCCACTTCATCCTCCTAGATGTGGATGTTTAATCATGTTTGGTCGGTAGCACACGTGGTTCACAGCAAGAAGGTGGTGGGTTCGATCCTGCTCAGCCTGGGTCTTTCTGTCTGGAGTTTGTCTGATACTTCCTGTGTCTGGGGTGGGTTTCCTCTGGGCGCTCCAGTCACGCGCAGGCACAATGATTAAAATCCTTCAGCTGTGATAGTCCTGACCAAGCCCAGCATCGGAAGACAAAGTGTAACCTTAATCAAATCAATTCTCCCGTATACATTATCAAATTTACATTTATTTGATTGACTGCGGAACCTTCCGCAGTCAAATTGGTTTTGTATTTCTTTATTCCGTCATTTTTTTGACACGTTTCACAGCTTTCACATTTTCAACAATTTCCACAAGTTATACATCAAAACGTTCCACATGTTTGGGAGATTATTGCTATTACTTTTGGGACTTCAGCGATTTCCGGTTTTTCCGCAATCGGACAAAAATCTGCATTGAGAATTCTGCAATGCATTTTAATAGGCCCATGCATTTTAATAGGACTTCAGCTCTTTCAGACATTTCTACAGTTTCAATGATTCAACAGTTTCAAGGATTCAACAGTTTCAAGGATTTCAGCAGTTTCAAGATTTCAAGAGTTTCAAGGACTTCAACAGTTTCAAGGACTTCAGCAGTTTCAAGGACTTCAGCAGTTTCAAGGACTTCAGCAGTTTCAAGGACTTCAGTGTAATCATGCAACCTAATAGGGATTTTTCCATGTAAACCAGTATAATGCAACTTAATAGGGATTTTTCCATGTAAACCAGTATAATGCAACTTAATAGGGTTTTTTTCATGTAAACCAGTATAATGCAACTTAATAGGGTTTTTTCATGTAAACCAGTATAATGCAACTTAATAGGGGTTTTTACATGTAAACCAGTATAATGCAACTTAATAGGGTTTTTTCCATGTAAACCAGTATAATGCAACTTAATAGGGTTTTTTCCATGTAAACCAGTACAATGCAACTTAATAGGGATTTTTCCATGTAAACCAGTATAATGCAACTTAATGGGGATTTTTCCATGTAAACCAGTATAATGCAACTTAATGGGGATTTTTCCATGTAAACCAGTATTATGCAACTTAATAGGGATTTTTCCATGTAAACCAGTATAATGCAACTTAATAGGGATTTTTCCATGTAAACCAGTATAATGCAACTTAATGGGGATTTTTCCATGTAAACCAGTATTATGCAACTTAATAGGGGTTTTTACATGTAAACCAGTATAATGGAACTTAATAGGGGTTTTTACATGTAAACCAGTATAATGCAACTTAATAGGGATTTTTACATGTAAACCAGTATAATGCAACTTAATAGGGATTTTTCCATGTAAACCAGTATAATGCAACTTAATAGGGTTTTTTACATGTAAACCAGTATAATGCAACTTAATAGGGATTTTTCCATGTAAACCAGTATAATGCAACTTAATAGGGTTTTTTACATGTAAACCAGTATAATGCAACTTAATAGGGGTTTTTACATGTAAACCAGTATAATGGAACTTAATAGGGGTTTTTACATGAAAACCAGTATAAAGGATAACAGTTTAAAGGATATCAGGAGCTTCAAATACTTCAGGAGTTTCAAAGATGTTTAAAGTATTTTAACAGTTTCAAGGATTTCAAGGATTTTTCAGCTAAATTCCACATTAGATCTGTTCCGCAGTCAATCGCAATGGCTTCAGCCATTGCAACGGTTTCTAGTTTAGCATTGCCCCAAAATCACAACAGTAGTCATCTCGGAGGACTTTACAAAACTGATGATTCGCCAACACAGATCAGAGAATCAAACTGTTCAAACACAAGAAATGTCCGTAAATGTTGTGGAATGTCGAATGTCCTGGATCATCACCACTGTCCTTAGACCACATAAACATACAATAAAACACAAAATCCCAAAGTAAGAAATAACTCCTGGTGAATACTTGGTGATAACATTGATGCTGTGGTTGTGTCTGTATTGTTGTGGCGAAGCCTGGACTCTTTAGTTCTGCCTCTTGATGATAAGTGTGCTGCTGCCAGTGTTAAGCTGCAGATGAGAGACAAATGTTTGAGCTTGTGGGAAACACTCCAGTCCTGTGTGGACGAGCGCCTGACGGACTAAAGTCTAATTAAAAGGTTGTTTTTGACACCCAGACACCATATGCAACAACAGTAAATAGCTCTTGTATAAACTAATGTCTGGGACAGCGTTTATGGAGCTATGAAGGGCAGATGCCAACCATGGATCTATTATAATAGCTGGATAGGGTATTACCAGCTGGGAGCTGAAGGACCCATGTGCTCGGGGGACTCTTGCGGTACTGCAGACTTAACAAGACTAAATTCATGTTAGCTCTCCAGAAATGTTCCCCAATAGAACTCGATGTAAACTAAAACAGTTTGACCTCAGCTGACAGAGAACCTACAGGTTTTTATTTTTAAATCCTTGGGTTTTCTTTAAAACCACACTATAGTGCCACAAACTCTGCTTGATTGTCTCCCGCTCCAGCTCCGCCCTGATCAGCAGCGCCAGATTGGTGAGAGCACGGCTGAGCCCCTCTGTGCACGAGCATGAGAGCCACACACTCGAGACAGAGCACTTTTTGGAGGAAAACCTGTTAGTCACCAGGAGAATTGAGGCTGGGGTAACAAAGCTAACTCACTTCTCTCTCTACAGCTCAGAATCACTGTGTGGTCGCTGTGCACCAAAGCAGTATCTTACATCAAGTATCCAAAAGCGTGTCAAAAAGGTGAGTCGGCTCTAATGTTTTTAACTGTTGATTCCCTGATTTCAATAGTTTTGTTAAGTCCTCTGAGATGACTGCGGTTGTGATTCAGGGCTATACAAGAATAAATTGTATGGTATTGTATTTGTATAGCCGAATCTATCTCTCTCCATCTCTCTTTCTATCTGTTTCTCTATCAATCTCTATCTGTTTATCTATTTACTGTATCTGTCACTCTATCTCTGTATCCATCTGTCTCTCTCGATCAGTACTACCCTCTATCTATATATGTTTTTATAGGTTGCCATAGCTTTTAAGGAGGCCTGTTTGCTCCAACCATCAATGCAAGGTTGTTTATCCTTGTCAAAGTTCAATAACAAGTTCAGCTTTCACAGCGAGAAGGTGCTGGGTTTGGATGCTCTCCCTGTGTCTACGTAGGTTTCCTCCAGGTGCCCCGGTTTTCTACACACAGATTCCTCTTGAGATACTCTATTTGTAACTAAACTTGTCTCACATTTTCAGGAAGACTGTTCGATTTGTAGCTGCATTAGTCATAAAATTCTGCCTCCCCATGTTTAGTCCTAACTCTGGGACCAGCAGGAGGCCAGTCCCTGTGCTCCTCAGAGTCCCAGGTGGTTCATATGGCACCAACAATGTATTCTCTGAGCCACAGGGACCTGAGGCCAGGACTAAATGTTGATGCTATTCGCTCTAAACTCCAGCACGAGGAGTTTGATTGAATGGGTTTTCTCCGGTAAAAGCCCTGTATACAGTCTGTGGTCAGTGCTGGGGTCAGAAAGTCTGCGCAGCCCATGTTTGTAGCTATGTTCACATCACAACAGACTTTACAAGGCCTTTCATTATTGGTGGAGCCCTGTGCATGTAATCAAATAGCTCCACATAGCAGCAGTACAATGATACGCTCAGAGCAACCGTGCTATGTTCGCCATCAGGGCCACATTATTTATATGGGCATTCTTGTCTCGCCGCGCTGCGTGTGGAAAACGCGGAGAGTGGTGGACAATCATTATTCTTGCGCTCGCTGACAGCTCCGTTATGGCGAGCATGTCCCATTTACTGAGCAGAGAGCAGCTGTCAGCGAGGGAGCCGCATTCTCTGTCCCCCCGCAGAAGGTAGGAGGACGGCATGTTATCCAGGAGGCTGTCCTGAGGTGCCTCTTCTGCTGGAGCCGCAGAGAGACCCGAGAGAGCGACCCGGTAGAGAGACCCCGGTAGAGAGAGACCCCGAGAGAGAGACCCCGGTAGAGAGAGACCCCGAGAGAGAGACCCCGAGAGAGAGACCCCGAGAGAGAGACCCCGAGTGAGAGACCCCGAGAGAGAGACCCCGAGTGAGAGACCCCGAGTGAGAGACCCCGAGTGAGAGACCCCGAGTGAGAGACCCCCGAGTGAGAGACCCCCGAGTGAGAGACCCCCGAGTGAGAGACCCCCCGAGTGAGAGACCCCCGAGTGAGAGACCCCCGAGTGAGAGACCCCCGAGTGAGAGACCCCCGAGTGAGAGACCCCCGAGTGAGAGACCCCCCGAGTGAGAGTCCCCGAGTGAGAGTCCCCGAGTGAGAGTCCCCGAGTGAGAGTCCCCGAGTGAGAGTCCCCGAGTGAGAGTCCCCGAGTGAGAGTCCCCGAGTGAGAGAGTGAGAGTCCCCGAGTGAGAGTCCCCGAGTGAGAGTCCCCCCCGAGTGAGAGTCCCCGAGTGAGAGTCCCCGAGTGAGAGTCCCCGAGTGAGAGTCCCCGAGTGAGAGTCCCCGAGTGAGAGTCCCCGAGTGAGAGTCCCCGAGTGAGAGTCCCCGAGTGAGAGTCCCCGAGTGAGAGTCCCCGAGTGAGTCCCCGAGTGAGAGTCCCCGAGTGAGAGTCCCCGAGTGAGAGTCCCCGAGTGAGAGTCCCCGAGTGAGAGTCCCCGAGTGAGAGTCCCCCGAGTGAGAGTCCCCCGAGTGGGAGTCCCCCGAGTGGGAGTCCCCCGAGTGGGAGTCCCCCGAGTGGGAGTCCCCCGAGTGGGAGTCCCCCGAGTGGGAGTCCCCCGAGTGGGAGTCCCCCGAGTGGGAGTCCCCCGAGTGGGAGTCCCCCGAGTGGGAGTCCCCCGAGTGGGAGTCCCCCGAGTGAGAGTCCCCCGAGTGAGAGACCCCCGAGTGGGAGTCCCCCGAGTGGGAGTCCCCCGAGTGAGAGACCCCCGAGTGGGAGTCCCCCGAGTGAGAGACCCCCGAGTGGGAGTCCCCCGAGTGAGAGACCCCCGAGTGGGAGTCCCCCGAGTGGGAGTCCCCGAGTGAGAGTGCTACCCTCTGAAAGAGAGCTGTCAGCTGTCTGGAAGTTCTTTATGAATCTGAACTCTTAAATCCAGTGCTTAGAATAATCAATAACTCTTCTGGCTCCTGGAAAAAGCCATTTTCCATCTGGCAGAAGATATTGTTGGCTGAGATGCAGCTTCTTTCTTCTCTTCTATTGAAGCCGTTTTTTGTTGATTGGTTTCACAGTGATGATTGTTTTGTTTTTTGATCTATTTGTCTGTTGCACACTGGGGGACTCTTGCACAAGTATTCCAATGTGGTTTTACTGCAAATGGCAAATAAGTTGAAGTTCAGCTGGTGCCTGGTGTCTGCGTACATGGTGTGTGTTCCTCGCTGGTTGACGGGAGCCTCCTCTGATCTGTCCGATAGCTCTGGACTTCAGCAGAGATGGCTGTTACATGGCGCTGGCCGAGCGCAGAGACTGCAAGGACTACGTCAGCGTCTTTGTCTGCGACGACTGGCACTTACTGAGGGTGAGACGTTCAAGAAATATTATGTCAATGTCCAGAGAGACCAGAGAGAGAGACCAGAGAGAGAGACCAGAGAGAGAGACCAGAGAGAGAGACCAGAGAGAGAGACCAGAGAGAGAGAGACCAGAAAGGGAGACCAGAGAGGGAGACCAGAGAGGGAGACCAGAGAGGGAGACCAGAGAGGGAGAGACCAGAGAGAGAGAGACCAGAGAGAGAGACCAGAGAGAGAGACCAGAGAGAGAGAGACCAGAGAGAGAGAGAGACCAGAGAGAGAGAGACCAGAGAGAGAGAGAGACCAGAGAGAGAGAGAGACCAGAGAGAGAGAGAGAGACCAGAGAGAGAGAGAGAGACCAGAGAGAGAGAGAGAGACCAGAGAGAGAGAGAGAGACCAGAGAGAGAGAGACCAGAGAGAGAGAGAGAGAGACCAGAGAGAGAGAGAGAGAGACCAGAGAGAGAGAGAGAGAGAGACCAGAGAGAGAGAGAGAGAGACCAGAGAGAGAGAGAGAGACCAGAGAGAGAGAGAGACCAGAGAGAGAGAGAGAGACCAGAGAGAGAGAGAGAGACCAGAGAGAGAGAGAGAGAGACCAGAGAGAGAGAGAGAGAGACCAGAGAGAGAGAGAGAGAGACCAGAGAGAGAGAGAGAGAGAGACCAGAGAGAGAGAGAGAGAGACCAGAGAGAGAGAGAGAGAGAGACCAGAGAGAGAGAGACCAGAGAGAGAGAGAGACCAGAGAGAGAGAGAGACCAGAGAGAGAGAGAGAGACCAGAGAGAGAGAGAGACCAGAGAGAGAGAGAGACCAGAGAGAGAGAGAGACCAGAGAGAGAGAGAGACCAGAGAGAGAGAAACCAGAGTGGGCGAGACCAGAGTGGGCGAGACCAGAGTGGGCGAGAGACCAGAGTGGGCGAGAGACCAGAGTGGGCGAGAGACCAGAGTGGGCGAGAGACCAGAGTGGGCGAGAGACCAGAGTGGGCGAGAGACCAGAGTGGGCGAGAGACCAGAGTGGGCGAGAGACCAGAGTGGGCGAGAGACCAGAGTGGGCGAGAGACCAGAGTGGGCGAGAGACCAGAGTGGGCGAGAGACCAGAGTGGGCGAGAGACCAGAGTGGGCGAGAGACCAGAGTGGGCGAGAGACCAGAGTGGGCGAGAGACCAGAGTGGGCGAGAGACCAGAGTGGGCGAGAGACCAGAGTGGGCGAGAGACCAGAGTGGGCGAGAGACCAGAGTGGGCGAGAGACCAGAGTGGGCGAGAGACCAGAGTGGGCGAGAGACCAGAGTGGGCGAGAGACCAGAGTGGGCGAGAGACCAGAGTGGGCGAGAGACCAGAGCGGGCGAGAGACCAGAGCGGGCGAGACCAGAGCGTGCATATGGCCGAATAAATAAAGTAGATGAAGTGACATTCTAAAATTGAAGAATTTACTATTTACCTGGTCGCTCTGTCTGGTCTCTCTGTTCTCTCATTCTCTCCTTGATCTCTCCCTGGTCTTTCTCTCTCTTTGGTCTCTCTTTCTCTGTTCTCTCTCCTCCTCGCCCCTCTATTCTCTCTCTCTGGTCCCTCTCTCTGGTCTCTTTCTGGTCTTTCTTTGGTCTCGATCCACTATAGTCTCATTATTTCCTCATAAAGCCATTAAAATTGGTGACAATACTGAAAATGTATGCATTAATTTGCTTGTCTAAATATAATATGGTTTCTAAATCGGATCCTTTTTTGCAGCACTTTGAGACCGAGACTCAAGACCTGGCTGGACTGGAGTGGTCCCCGAATGGTTGTGTGCTCGCAGTGTGGGAGAGCTGTCTCGAGGTTCGTTAAAACTATTCTGGTGGGAGATCATCTAACTCAGACTTGGGCAAAGTGTGGCTCCAGGACCACATGCGATCCGTTTCTATGTAGCCCTCGGACCTTTCCCCATCCGCAAACTTCATCTGTCTCTGCCGTTTTTAATGAATGGGAATCTCTATGAATGAGATGGATGATAAATCTTAACAACTTATCATCCTCTCTCTTCCTATTCTGTGAATACTTTTTTTCCCCCCTTGAATTAATGCATCTGATTGGTCATTCTTATATGGCTCATACAGTATCTGGATTTACAAAGACTATAACGAACACCAGGATCACAGAGAGCGCTATACCAGAGATTTTTTAAGCCCAAAATGCAGACTGTGACACAAACGGTTACTGAGCTAGAGAAGTTTACTTTGACGTCGTCACAAGCCAAATAGAGTTGGAGCAAAACTTTATCTATTAGCACTTTGTTTTTAAGCCTCATTGAGAGCAGGTTAGCATTTTCCATCTATTGTTTGTGCAGAGCAGGAAAATGTCCATGTGTCTCAAGTTTTGTCAGGTTCTTGACAACGGAACATGCCTGAAAGATTCATTGATTACTTCCACGTGTTTTTGTAGCATGTTTAAACGTGTGTTTTCGTGTCTCGTCAGTATAAGGTGCTGCTGTACTCGCTGGACGGGCGTCTTCTCTCCACCTACAGTGCCTATGAGTGGTCTCTGGGAATCAAGTCTGTGGCCTGGAGCCCCAGCAGTCAGTTCCTGGCCATCGGCAGCTACGACGAGAAAGTAAGGCTATTAAAAAATGAGAGGGCCGGTGGAAGCACTCTCAATCAGGGCAGAGTAGAGTCGAGCAGATTAGGGCCAAGTAGGACCAAGAAGGGCTGGTGGAAACCTGGCCTATGGTAACTGTCAACAGTCTGAAGTCTTATTTTAGAGCCAATTTCTCTGTAATTCTTTGGAAAAGAAACAAAAAATTCACAAAGTCCCACATCTTATTTGTCAGTATGCATCAATTATTCCCACTCTGTTCTCTCTCTCTGGTCTTTTGGTTTCTCTCTGTTTGGGTCTCTCCTCCTGGTCTCTCTCTTTGTTCTCTGGTCTCTCCCTGGTCTCTTTCTCTTTGGTTTCTCCCCTTGGCCAAAAAAGTATGCATGAATTTGACTGTTTAAGAATAATATGGTTCGTAAATCTGATCACTATTAAAATAATGATCTGAGGAAACACTTGAACCCATTCTTTTTCAACATTTCTTTCAAATTTCTTCTTTCTCATAGACTTTTTTTTTATTTTTATTTTTTTTATTATTTTTATTATTAAATCAGCAGAAAAACACAAGATACACTTACAATTAGTGCTCCAACCCAAAACCCTCCCACCCTCACCCCCATTCACACTCATTCACACTCATTCACACAAACGGGTTGTTTCCTTACCATATTAACATTCTGGTTCCTACAATATATATCAATGCAGTCTGCACGAAATGAAGTCCGTGAGGCACTGCCCTAAACAAGTGCCTTTCGGAAACCACATCCACCGCAATAGGGTTGTGTGTGCTGCTGGTCCACTATTAGTAGTAACATTTACCAGTTACATTTTGCTTGAATTCAAAAATTTTTGTATTAAAAAATAAAATAGAAAAAAAAATACAAAATAAATAAAATGTATAATAATTAATATTTTTTTTAATAATAAGTTAATTAACAAAAAAACAAAAAAAAAACACTATCTTCACCAGACCAGGCTTTAGCAAGAGTACAGTAGATGGTTTAAAGGGCTCTTAAAACCGGGTCCAGTCCAGATTATGTCGAGATCGGGCTCAGCAACACACACCTTCATTTGCATACACCCAGATTAAGGAAACACAGACGCAGTTTAGCATATAATCTATAATCAAAAATACATTTTCAAAAAAGGCCTTTGAGAACTTCCCATCTACGTTTATGTTTTTTGGCATCATTATCGGTTTCAACCATATAACTTTCTAATGTAAAGAAATGCTGAATAAATGTTTTAAAGAAAGTAATACTAAGTGAATATCTATTTTTTGCCTTAAAAATAAATCTTTTACCGAGTACAATAATTAAATTAACTAAATCGTGACTGTCAATAAAATCTCCTAATATGACAGAAATCACATCAAGCTTCGTAAACAAACCGATCCTTAAACACATTTTTTCAACTTCTACCCAAAACAAAGACACAATATGACAGTACCAAAACAAATGCAGTGTGGATTCAGACTCCTGACTACAAAAACGGCAATCATCTGACTCAGTCATATTCCATAATTTTAACATTTTTCCGGTGGGTAAGAAATTATATAAGATTTTGATTTGAAAATAACGATTCTGCACATCGATAGTAGTTTTGTAGATTAATTTAAATATTGTATCCCACGGCAACGGGCAGTCAAAATAGTCTTCCCATTTTCCATATGTGTTATATGGGGCAACCTTCAGAGATTTCTTTATTAAATAAAAATTATATATTTTTTTATTTATTTTTATTCCTTTTTGCCAACTTGAATTTCTTATTGGAGGTTTACAAACTAATAGTTTAGTAGTTCCATAGTTAATTATTTGTTTCCATTTTTTTCCAATAACTCCAGTTAGTTGATTAAAGGAAAAGCTTGAACAAATATCACCATACATAATTCTAAATTCATCATACTCCATGATCTTACCATTCTCATTGATAATGTCATTGACAAAAATAATTCCTCTTTCAAACATGTTTTTCCAAAAGAAAGGCTTTCCATCTATTACAATATTAGAATTCATCCATATTATCTGCTGCAAAATGTCATCTCTTTTTTCTGGTACACAAAATTGAAAACACCACCATGACTGGATTCTCATAGACTTTTAGTGGCACCTGCTAAAATAATGGACCTCTACAAGCTTTTCATTTGAGCTGTCTCTTTAGGACAAATGGCAGCTACTACGACTTAGGATCGTCCATCTGTGCTGCTATTCTCAACACGTCAGACCTGGAACGCTCTTTAGTCAGGCCAAGAATACCGTATGAATATTATCCTGACAAGTTCATCTGTGATCATACCTGCTTGTCAAAAGTCTATCTCAGAAGTTCAGAAGCAAACCCCGGGTTAGAGTGACGGCTGATATGTGTCTATATACAGTGGACTTTCAGTTTCATACGATTTGAAATGTAATGTGTGTTTGTTTTTTCCTTCCTTGTCTCAGGTAAGAATCCTCAATCACATCACATGGAAGAAAATCGCACAGTTTGATCATCCTTCAACGATCACAAAGACCAAAGCTGTAAGAGTCTGTTTAGTTTGGTCATATTTCAGCTATCACCCCTGTGTTGGCAACCCTCAACTGGTTCCCTCCTCTCTCTCTCTGGTCTCTCTCTGGTGTCTCTCTCTCTGGCCTCTTTCTCTGGACTCTCTCCCTTTCTTTTGTTTTGTGCCCCATTATATTTACAGTGTCTATATGTTTGTGTGTGTGCGTCTCTGTCGGCAGGTTGTGTATAAGGAGGAGGAGAAGCGTCCAGCCCTGAGTGAGGACCTGTCCCTGCACTTGAACTCAAGCTCCTCTCTCTTCAGCTCACAGAGTAAATGTACGCAGCTAAATGTGTATTCATAACTTGTTTTTCTTACGTGTGTATGTTTGTCATAAGTAGTCCTACCTTCAACTATTTTCCCAACAAAGAATATCAAGTGCAAGTTACCATAGCAACACACTTTTTACAGTCAGAAGTTAGTTAGCAATTTTGTTGCTGAATTTCAGTTATAATGACCAGTTTCAGCACTTGAGTAATATATTACAAGTAATAAGTTATAAATTGCCTTATTTTGATAAATCTGGTGAAATACTCCAGATGAGATCTTGTCTCTGCCGGTGCATCTGCCGGTCGTCAAACCAGACCCAGAACGCGCCAACCCCAAGATCGGCGTCTCCAACCTGGTCTTCAGCTCGGACAGCCGCTACCTAGCAACCAAAAACGGTAAACGTCCCAGAAACACTTTTTGGTGTCCGCGTCTTTCTCTGGTCCCTCTCTCTCTGCTCTCTCTTTCTCTGATCTCTCCCTCTGCTTTCTCCTCCCTGCTCTCTCTATCTCTCTGGTCTCTCTCTCTGGTCTCTCTCTCTGGTCTCTCTAATGAACCATGTGTATCCACAGACAGTATACCATGTGTCCTGTGGGTGTGGGACCTGCAGAGTATGACCAGTGTGGCTGTGCTGGAGCAGACCTCCCCAGTGCGTTGCTTCCAGTGGGACCCCCGGCAGAACCGCCTTGCTCTTTGTACCGCCAACGCTAAGCTGTACCTGTGGTCTCCAGGGGGGTGTGTTGCCGTGCAGGTCCCAGCACCAGGTACCAGCACACAAAGAGCCCACCAGGGACACACCAGGAAGGACCACAGCAGAGGAATCAATCAATCAAGAAAACCTCACCAAAATAAATGACTCATCTTTCCACTGATATACACATAGACTGGATAGTAGCATCCGGTCTCTGATCTCTGGTCTTGCTCTGATCTCGCTCTTTCTGGTTTCGTTTCTGGTCTTTCTCTCTCTAGTCTCTCACTCTGGTCTCATTAGGTAATAATACCAAAGCGATCTGCAAAAATCTTATCTCTCTTAATTTATCAAAATATTTCTCTTATGTTGTTTTTAAAAAAAAATATTTTGAGCAGGCCCCTCGCGCAGTGTGACATTGTGTCCACCACAGGTAGAGTTTAATACAGTTTTAACATTGGATTAAAAACAGTTTTTATTGTAATTTTCTGTTTCAGGAGGATTCCAGGTGCAGGCTCTGAACTGGCACAACACTGGACACTCACTGGTCCTGGTGGGGAAAGACCAGCTCTGTCTCTGCTACATGGACGAGGACCAGGACCAGGATCAGGACTAGAATTAGAACCCATTTGCAGAAAATCCGGCTCCTGTCTAAACTGAAAAACCAGCAGTCGAGTCAGGTTGAAACACTGTGAAAAGTAGTTTTATAGTTTTATATCGTTTTGTATTTATTCATGAGAATGTTATTCAATAAACGGCATTTATTATCCTTGTCTCAAATACTAGACATTTTGACAATGTGATAAAAAAATGTTTTCACAAAGTTTAAGTCTGGGATGTTGTGATGTCACATCATGAACATAAAGAGCCTCTACTTTCGACTTGTGGTGGAGGGCGACAAATGGTAGCTATGGTATCTGTCAAGTTGAAATTCTTGCTATTTTCTGGAACAACCCACTTTGGTCTCTCTGGTCTCATTATCTCATTCGGATGCCTCGATAGATATACTTTATTGATCCCCGTAGGAGAAACTCATCCATGTAAACACATACGTGCATCAATTATACCCATTTCTAAGTAACAATAGTGCATATTTTTCACTCCAGATTTGTTGTACCGTCTCACAGCCGGAGGAACAAAGGATCTCTTGAAACGTTCCGTTCGGCAGCGTAGTGATAGCCTGTTTCGATCACTCCTGAGCAGCCAGTGTCATGCAGAGGGTGTCTGGAGTTACCCAGGACGCCCTGCAGCTCCCACAGAGTCCACACTTCTCCCCATCAGAGACTTATTTCCTGATCAGCCTGTCGAGAAGTCTGCTATGACCTTTCTTATAGACAACAATTTTCTCAGTGTCACCACAATGCTAACATCTGAATAAAGAGATATTTATAGATTAGAAAAAAAAGTCAAACCAAAGTACTGATCCATTTATTATCCAAACAGAACTATTGCATAAATATTAAAACATTTTCAATAAAACAGAAGTGTCCTTTTCTCGTGCTGCACATACATAAACTTCTTTGGCAACATTTAAGTATTATTCAAACACACACCCGTAACAAAAGTCATGCTTTCACATAAACATTTGATGCGTTTAGTTACATTACTATTCTCAAATCAGTCATGTCCAAACTGTGGCCCGTAAGCCAAATGCAGCCCTCAGTCCAAGCCTTCTCGGCCCTCATGGATTTCATGTAAAATGACAAAGACAAACCTACAGACATAAGTAGAACATGCAAACTCTGCTCAGAAAGGGCCTGTCTGGTGGTGGACTTGAACCCAGGGCGGAGACGCACAGTTGGGAGGGTTAGGCACTTACCTCAGCAAGGATGTAGCGTTTTTATAGTTTACTAGTTTAGTTTGATTCTCAGTCTCAAAGTGAATGTCCAGTTTCTAATCCAGTGGGGGTTTTTTTTGTGCATGTGTGCATCGATGTAGGTGTGTTTGTCTGCTTGTTTTTGTTTTCTCCTATACCATATCTGGGTTTTGACAGTATAATATTGCATAATATAGCAAACAAAATGCATAATTTAAGCCCCGTTCGCACCAGCTCCACTCTACCTGGTCGTGTTTCCATTATGCTTCTGGTACCATATCCCAGCAACCCACCCACAACAAACTAGCAGCACTTTGACCAATCACTGTGAGAACACTTTAGTACCAGCTCGACCTGGATAGAACCAAGACCGAGAGGGAAGAGAGACCCTGGTACTGGTTACACAGGACGTGTTTTATAAAAAGTTCAAACGTCTTTACAACCAACAACCCTTTGTTCCTGTTTGTTCATGCTGCACAAATGTAAAGACAACATATGACGTATGTAATATGGCACGGACAAATAAATAAATAAATATTTCCGCCGTTATGATGCTAGAAACCGATCTTCCCACGGGTCATGGAGTATCCCAGTTTGGCCTCGTTGTTGATGAAGGAGACCAGACCCACGTAGGTCTCGATGAGCAGCGGTCTCTCTAGGACCAGGACCCCATTGGCCCGGCCGGGGAGGGGGTTGTCTCTGTGGGCTCGCTTCACTGCCTGCACCAGCTGAGACCGGAAGTCTTCCAGCTTCAGGACCATGGAGAGCAGACCAATGAGCAGGTGAGACTCAGATTAGAACATTGTTCATTTATTTTTCTAGATTAGCTTAAAACTTTAAACTATTGTATGATTACTCTTGCTCTTAATAAACTGCTGCCTTGCCGTGTATGAACTGTGCTATAGCAAAAACCTGGCCTACCTGGCAGAGTGAGGCCGCAGTCTCGTGGGCACAGGACATGGGGTGCTCAGTGAAGGTGGCGTAGGGCAGGTCTGTGCTCCAAGGGTTCCAGCGATTCAGGAAGGAGGCGCGAGGTCGTTTGTCCCACTGCACACGCACACCAAAGCCCTCCCTCCTGAGATACAGAGAGACAGACACAGAGAGAGAGTGAGACACAGAGAGCGAGAGAGAGACACCAAAGACAGGTGTTAGCTCTACAGAAGTGCACACACACTGACTGAGGCTCTGGAGTGAGTATGGTATGGTAGTGTAGGGTAGAGTAAGGCAAGGCAAGTTTATTTGTATAGCACAATTCACACACAAGGCAAAGTGCTGAACAAAACAAGAAAGCATTAAAATAAAAATCATAAATAATCACAGAACATTAAAAAGAAAGATAAAACAATTAAATCCCTCAGTTGTATACACAGCTAAACAGAACTGTTTTTAACCTGGTTTTAAACATTGTCAGAGAGGAGGCCTGTCTCACATCTTCAGGAAGATTGTTCCAGATTTTAGCAGCATTCATCTGAAAAGCAGCCACCCCATGTTTAGAGTAGAGGAGAGTAGTGGAAACAGTGCTTTGGCTTCTCTCGGATCACAATGACCCACCAGTGTGATTAAAAGTAGACCCTTTTTGACCCTGATGTCTAAACGACCCGGGGTCAAGTTAGGAAAAATATATATTATTTAATATATTACATTATATATTAGGCTGGTGCTATGTGTACTGGGTGCAGCTCTGACTGCCACTCCCCCAACCCAGAAATGGATTAAGGGGAAGAAGATGGATGGATATTATTTATTTTATATTAGTATTTTAATCACTGAATTTGAGTAAATTTGACCCAAGGATAGCACAAAGGTTAAAAGAACCTTCTGAACCTTGGAATATAAATACATTTTCAGCTGGATCACAGACTTATTCAGAGACGTTAGAGTCACGCACTTGTTCAGAGACTTTGGAGGGAACTGGAACTCTCCGACTGAGACTGTGTCCACAGCGCTCAGGGCAACGCGGACCACGTGCTGACACAGGAGGTTAATGAAGTCATATTTGCAGATGAGCAGAGACCTGAAATACATCACAGCTATCTTAGCGTTGTTTAGAGACCCGAGGGCCATCACAGATAACTTAAAGTTGTTTAAAATTAAGTGATTATATTGAAATCAGAAGTTCCGCTGTACCGGTCTGTGATGAGAACCAGCCGCTCCTTGTCATTGTTCCAGTGGTCGACCCTGAACACACATGAAGAGATCCTTTATTTGACAAATAATTTACAAGATAAATTAACTCTATACTAAAACAAAATAATATCTTTAACTTTAGCATAATAAAGAAGCAAGTCAAATTTCTAACTTAAGGAAGGGGTTGTGTGCTTATATGACTGTAGGGACCAATGTCTTCTATGTGTTTGTTATTATTGTATTTCTTGTGTTTGAAGTGTTAAATTCTCTGATCTGTTCGAATGAAAAAAGAATGAAATGCCAGTGATTGTGTCATTTAGGCGGCCTAATACACAAATAAATTGATCTAACGGATGCACATATACTGTGCTTTGGATCAGATCACAGTTTAGCTGCACATGTCAGACTCACTGCAGTAAGAAATGTAGTATGTAATGTAGTAATACATATTGTATTAGTATGTTTTGTCACAGTATTATTTTTTTAATAGTATGCTTAAATTTAAGTTGAAGTTTAAATATGACTGTAAGCACATTATTTAATCCAAAGTTATTATTTCATAGTAAGAGTAGTTAATACTCAGAGACAGTACTCACTCGGAGAGCAGCCACACGCTCAGAACGTCTCCATCCTCAGAGGGCAGAGCCACGCTCCTGATGTCACTCACCGCCTGCTCGATGGTCCCTGGCTGAGACAGACACTAGGAGTCAGAGACTAGAGAGACACCAAAGAGAGACCAGGGAGACACCAGGCCAGAAGTCAGAGACCAGAGAGACACCAAGAGTGAGAGTCAGAGACCAGAGAGAGACCTGGAATCAGAGACCAGAGAGACACCAGAGAGACACCAGAGAGACACCAGAGAGACACCAGAGAGACACCAGAGAGACACCAGAGAGAGAACATCACTACTTGTATTGATTATTATTATTATTATTATTTGTTTATTTGACAGGGACATTGCACAATAAATGTATTGTTCAGACCGGATATAGCTACAAGCTAATTTTCATCCGTAGTCCCTGAGGCAGAGGAAACGTGACAGCAGGTTTACAGTGTGCAAAGAATTGATAAATAGAAAGAATGAATGGCCTAATTAAAATACAGATAAAATACAATTAAGTGATTCATGCAGTTTTTAAAATCCTAAATACATGCTAAAACTGGAGCAGCAGAAATACTAAACAACATAATGACAATGAATTAAACTAAATATTGAAACAGAAAAGTCACGTAGACCGACGTACATAAACAGAGTGATGACAATTCCTAAACTGGGAGTTCAAGCGTCTTTACCACGCCCCCTTTTTAGTCGACTAATCGATCTATTTTGACCGAGCCACAGTTGACAGCTGTAGCAGACACAGGCAGAGCTCACCCGGAACACGAAGTAGTCCTTGGCTTTGCCCTGTATGGTCGGGTTGTGGACGTGGAAGGGCCGGAGGGTCTGCAGCGGCGGGCAGCAGGACATCGAGGCTCCGGAGAAACTGTGCGACTGCGGGGGTGTGAGCACCACCTCCGCAGCCTCCTCCGAGAGCCGGGGTGAGGGCAGCAGCACCGCGGGCTCCGGGCAGGTGGGCTCCACGGAGTCATTCAGCTGCAGCATGCTCCTCCGGGGCCTCTGCTCCCTGTGTGTTGGTGATAATGATCTAAATGTAACAATACTGTGGAGAGACTTCAGCGGTGGTCGGACACTGGAGCCGTGATTTCACTTCCTGTTTTGATTTCCGCTCTTAAAGAGACAGGAACAGAAGTACGGAGGTCACGTCCGAATAGAGCCACCTTAACCGTGAACTTTTGACGTTAGCTTAGTGTAACCCAGGTGAAAATATGCATTAATAGTGTGTATATTAGACCTACAGCTCCTGTTCCTTTAAATTGCCTGGGCATGCCCAGTGACCTTAATTAACCCCTGTCACATGACCGCGCTTAAGCCAATCACGCAGTGAGCCAATCACATTTAACCCAGCTGCAGCGACTTCCTCATCAGAGGTGTGGGGAAGTCAACTGACAGCTGTGGGCAGGTTTGTGTTTTGCTAATGTTACAATCTCGTGCTCGATTCATGCTTATGTTAAGCCTGTTAATGCAACTCTTTTAGAACCTACTGGGCTGCAGGGTAACGTCACCGCCATCGGGGTCTGTTATATAGAGGAACTGGTGAGTAAGTCTGAATGAATGAACCATGTGCTAATGCTAGGTGGGTTTTAATTGCAGTGTGTTTACATGCACTGAGGAAATCGGATTATACAGTACTGTCTTATTTATACGAACCTTGTGCAGCTAATATAAGTTTCATGTTACACTGACTGTTAAATCAACCTGTTTTGTTGTTTTACGTTGGATCATTATGATTTAGAAATGTGTACACATAGAATTTGAATGAATGCTGAAGTTAATGCATTCCTATTATTTACTGGTCCTGTTGTGGCATTGCAGGCCAGGTTCTCTCTCTCTTTCTCTTGGATTTCTCCATTCTCTGGAGAGATGACTGATGGCGAGCTGAACTAAGGCTGGGAGCCTACCATCGACGCGCATTCACTGAACAGCCACCCTGCTGGTCCGGTAGGAAGGTTGTCCGCAGCCTGTCCCCCACACACTTCTCAACAGACCCACGCTTCAGGCCCACTTGCACATCCCTCCCTTTAACGAACAATAACCCATGGACTACTCAATCTAAAACTCTCACAGAACCCCCGTGGGTTGTAGCGTTGGTCTGGCGAAATCCACCATTGCTGGGACATTTCATTTTCTGTTTGTTCTGTGTGTGTGTGTGTGAGAGTGGCAACCGCTGTGAATTCTGTAATATCCTACCTGAACAATAACCTCAAAGTGCACTTAACTATAACCGGTACAAACTGCAGTATGTAAATATTTGGGGTTTTTCTATATTTTGTCCTATTATTTCTGTTTGTAAATAGTTGTTCACTTCCAAATATATGGTACCAGCACCAAATGTAAACTATGTTTCTGTGTTGTTACTGACCACCAGCTCCTGCAGCCAGACCTAGTCTTCTGTACTGTAACTAGTCCATACCATTCTATTTCATTATTATTAATCGTTATTATTATTGGTAATACTATATTAGTTATCTGCGAGTCCCCAAATACCCGCTACATCTTGGCGAGCTAGCCAGGAGCTGGTTTGTACAGTAATTAACACGAGGATGTCTTTGGTGTTACTGGTGTCTGGCTCGAGGCTGAGGAAATCCATACAGATGAGTTCAAGTGGTCTGGAAGTTTGTATACTGACGAGAGGAGCGGCTCTCTCAGGAAGAGCTTTGCGACGTACACACCGTCCACAAGTCTTTATCTTGTGCTCTACGTCAGCAGACATTTTGGGCCAATAGAACCGGGTACGAGCGAGGTCTAACGTACGCTCTATTCCCATGTGACCCATATCATCATGGAGACTCTGCAAAACAGTGAAACGAAGTTCTCCAGGCAGGACCAGTTGATATGAAGTCTGTTCATTGTCCTGTCGCTTTCTGTAGAGAATGCCTTCAACTAGTTCGAGCTTATTCAGCTCCCTCAGCAGCAAGGAAATCTCAGGCAGCTCCTCCTTGGCAGTGGGAGGGACTGTCTCACCTGTCTCCATCTGGTGTATGACTTCCCTGAGATTCGGGTCAGCCCTCTGCTTGTCCCGGAGTTCAAGATGGGAAAGAATCGGAACCACAGGCAGCCCTGGATCTTCTATGTAACTCTCGGGAAGAACATCTGCCATGACAGACAGGGACTCGACCAAGGTGCTCACTGCCTCCCCCCGCATGAGTTTGGCAAGGCATATGCATCCTTGACAGTCTGCAAATTGAGCTTGCGGTAGTCAATGCATAGTCGAATATCTCCATTTTTCTTCTTGACAACAACTATAGGTGACGAGAACGGTGACTCGGGGAAGGTATCTGCACTAAAATCCTGGCCAGTTCCCATTAATCTTAAGACCTTAAGATCCTTCCTGGGATTTGCAGGCTATTATCGCCGTTTCATTAAAGGGTATTCAGCCATCGCAAAGCCTCTCAACGACCTGACCCGTGGATATTCTGCCACAAGGAAGAACTCAAAACTTGATTCAAAAGTTCACCAGTTTGATCCAAAGCAACCCTTCGGTTCCCGGTGGAGTCCACAATGTCAACTTTCTTTCAGTACTTTGATTGAGAAACTCACCAGTGCACCAGTTCTGGGGTTCGCTGATCCAAAGCGGCCTTACATTCTGCATACGGATGCAAGCACCACGGGACTGGGTGCAGCGCTCTATCAAGAGCAGGACGGAAATCTACGGGCTATTGCTTTTGCAAGCCGAGGACTCTCGTCAAGCGAAGGTCGCTATGCAGCTCATAAGCTTGAGTTTTTAGCGCTAAAGTGGAGTGTGACAGAAAAATTTCAGGACTATCTGTACGGTGCCAATTTTACCGTGGTTACCGACAGTAACCCCCTTACGTATGTCCTGACATCAGCCAAGCTGGATGCAATGAGCCATCGGTGGTTGGCTGCACTCTCCACATTTGCCTTCAAGTTACAATATAGAGCTGGACGACAGAATCTGGATGCGGACGCGCTTTCCCGCCTTCCGCAGGAAGACTCTCCTAGCGGCGAATCCGATCAAGAACTCCTCGACCAGTTCGCAAGACAACATCTGTCTGATCCTGGCGACCCCTCAATTCCATCTGAGGTTGTCAATGCCATTTGCCAGAGTTGTCTCATGCGGGGGGAGGCAGTGAGCACCTTGGTCGAGTCCCTGTCTGTCATGGCAGATGTTCTTCCCGAGAGTTACATAGAAGATCCAGGGCTGCCTGTGGTTCCGATTCTTTCCCATCTTGAACTCCGGGACAAGCAGAGGGCTGACCCGAATCTCAGGGAAGTCATACACCAGATGGAGACAGGTGAGACAGTCCCTCCCACTGCCAAGGAGGAGCTGCCTGAGATTTCCTTGCTGCTGAGGGAGCTGAATAAGCTCGAACTAGTTGAAGGCATTCTCTACAGAAAGCGACAGGACAATGAACAGACTTCATATCAACTGGTCCTGCCTGGAGAACTTCGTTTCACTGTTTTGCAGAGTCTCCATGATGATATGGGTCACATGGGAATAGAGCGTACGTTAGACCTCGCTCGTACCCGGTTCTATTGGCCCAAAATGTCTGCTGACGTAGAGCACAAGATAAAGACTTGTGGACGGTGTGTACGTCGCAAAGCTCTTCCTGAGAGAGCCGCTCCTCTCGTCAGTATACAAACTTCCAGACCACTTGAACTCATCTGTATGGATTTCCTCAGCCTCGAGCCAGACACCAGTAACACCAAAGACATCCTCGTGTTAACAGATCACTTCACCAAATTCGCCTTAGCCTTTCCAACACCGAATCAGAAGGCCAGGACAGTGGCCAAATGTCTGTGGGACAACTTCATAGTCTATTATGGGATACCAGAACGACTACATACAGACCAAGGGCGGGACTTTGAGTCCAAACTGATCAAGGAATTGTGTGAAGTGGCTGGAATCAAGAAGTGTCGGACTACACCATACCATCCGCGAGGAAATCCGGTAGAAAGATTCAACCGCACTTTACTCAACATGTTGGGAACTCTGGAAGAAAAACAGAAAACAAATTGGAAAGACTTCGTCAAACCCTTGGTACATGCTTACAATTGTACAAGGAATGAGACCACAGGATACACACCATACGAATTGATGTTCGGACGTTCTCCACGGCTTCCGGTCGACCTGGCTTTTGGGTTACCGCTGAGTGGGGAGAAGCACCAACCTCATTCACAGTATGTCCAAAGTCTGAAGTCTCGGTTGAAGGAAAGCTACGACATTGCCTCGAAGAACGCCGCCAAAGCATCTGAAAAGAACAAGGTCCGCTTTGACCAAAGGGTCGTTCCCTCAAAGTTGGAGCCTGGAGACAGAGTGCTTGTGCGTAGTGTTCGATTGAGAGGTAAACACAAGCTCAGTGACAAGTGGGAGCAGGACATCTACGTTGTGGTGGATCAAGCTGGAGACCTACCAGTCTATACAGTGAAGCCAGAGCGTAGTGATGGTCCTAAACGTACTCTTCACAGAGACCTCCTCTTACCATGTGGGTTCCTCCCTGCTGTTGAAGAGCCATCCATTGAAGCCAGTCCAGTCTCAAGGCCAAGAACACGGCAGCAGCGCGAGATTCTGCATGACTCTGAGGTCTCTGAAGAGGAAGACTCTCCACCTGAACCAGCAGTTCTCAGTCTGGACCCCAGTCCGATGACGTTCACTGTTGAGAAGATTTACCAAAAGGCTTCATCCCCTAATGTTGCCAATGACTATCTTTCTCCACCAATGTCACCTGTGAGTGAACCAGCTGTTGTTGGTGAAGGATCGGAGAGTGAGTACTTACCTGACGAGACTTTACCTGTAACACCTAACCACTTACCTGAAGCTGAGGAATCTGTAGCATCTGTGAGCAACTTACCTGAACACCTACCTGAGTCCGAGGAGGAAGAAGAATCTGTCGAACTACCTGTGGAAGGAAATTTGTCTGACTACGCACTTCATCCAGTCAGTCCCGAATTCGTTGAAATTCCACTCACTGAAGACGACGAGTCTGTCGATCCTGAGACGTCAGTCTCTAGTGTCTCTGAAC